ACCTAGCGCCGCGCAGAACGAGAGATTTCTCCCTCCAGACGCCCGATCCGATCGTTCTCCCCCACCACTGCCCAGCCGGTCGAACGAATATAAAAGGTGGAGAAATTGTGAATTCAAGACAGAACTGAGTATTACTCGGAGCAGTAAGGTGTTACCTTACTAATAACTTAGAGTGTTACTCTTCGTTAATAGAGTTTTACTCTAGCAATATACGTATGTCGAGTATTACTCGAACACGCAGATTTCAAACGTGGAATATTTTCGTTCTTTTAAACATGGTATTAGATATACTTAGAGTTTTACTCTTAGTATAGGTAATCACGAGTATTACTCGTGATTAGGCAGGATCTTCAAAATTGAACACCACCACCAAGGAAAGGATCATCACCTGGGCAGAAGATTTTACGAACGGCTCCAAATATCCCGGTTGAATGCCGATCAACTGAATTCCGCGGCTCGACCTGCATCGAAGCCGATTCTACCCCGCGGCTCAACACCCCGATGGATGCCGGTGAAATCAAGTCCCGAACAGATATCGCGTTCTTTTTCCTCAATAATATAATCAGTAGACTCACCTGAATTTCGTACCGACCGTAATTAATTTTCTTTCATTACCCGCAATTCCGTACTACTAATGTTACCGTTCCGTATTAAGTCCGTGAATGTTTCGCGAAGTTTGCGAGCTGATCGCCGTTATAATTGTTAATATAGTTTTTATCACTACCTTCATACTGTCTTTTTCTTTTCATATGACAAAACCGATCGCACGGTATCTCATCTATTAAAGAGAACAAATGAAACTTGATATCAGTCCATATCCGATTAACGTAAGATGTCAAGTAATTTTATATTGATGTATATAGTATTGTAAATAAATAAATTGTTTGTTTGTAAACAACCGTAATTGTATATTATTTTTTTTTGAATCAAAAAACCCTGGCTCGGCGAGCTAAAATGATTCAATTATTACAAACGTTACACGTGAAATGGCAAGATTGGAAATTTGTGTCTCTTTTTATGTCTCAACAAAAAATTATAAAACCAATATTTTCATGTCTGCTATAACATAACACAGTTACAAGAAAATGATTCCGCAAATGAGAAGTTAAAACTTTAGATCCCAAAGTAAGTAGTAGATCAGTTCAATAGAATCATTTATCCAGAATGTTCTGAGTTCGGACTTCTCTATTTCTCAACCTAATTACGTAGTTTAACAGAGAAGAAGAATGTTTAAATTTTGATTGCGTATATGAAATGAAAAATCTTGGGTACCGAAATAATGTAGTAGACTAGTTCGATGGAATCATTTATCCAGAAAGTTCTCAGTTCGAATTTCTCTATTCCTCAACCTAATTGATGTGATTTTCAAAAAAACAAGTATGTTACTATGTTATTTCTTAAACGAAATGTAACATCTGGAGTTCCTAAAGAATGCAGTGGATGAGTTCAAAAAAATTTACTATCCAATGAGTGTTATGTTACAAGATTTATGTGTCAGATTCCTTTATTTAATTTTAGTGCTAAAAAAATAGGTCATAATCATTTACTAAGTTTTTTAAGAATATAAGGAGATTTTATGTTAAATTACATATTGCGACAATTGTTACTTTCGTTAATTATATATAAATTAAACTTTACAAAGTCATTACGTGAAATAGCAAAATTTGAAATTTGTGTCTCTTTTTATGATTCATCAAAAAATTACAAAAACCAATCTTAAACTTTCGTATCTCTGTGAGTGTTATATAAATATTTTCATGTCTGCTATAACATTACACTGTTACAAGAAAATGATTCCGTATATGAAATGTAAAACCTTGGGTACCGCAATAATGCAGTAGATTAGTTCGATGAAATCATTTATCCAGAAAGTTCTTAGTTCCAAATTCTCTATTTATCAACCTAAATAATGTGATTTTTAAAAGAACAACTTTGTTACTATGTTATTACTTAAACCAAATGTAACATCTGGAGTACTCAAAGCATGAAGTGGATGAGTTCACTAAAAATTTACTATTTAATGAGTGTTCTGTTACAAGATTTTTGTTTCAGATTATTTTATTTAATTTTAGTTTTAAAAAAATATGTTATAATCGTTTAATTAGTTTTTTACAAATATAAGGAGATATAACGTTAAATTACATTGTGTGACAATTGTTCCTTTTGTTAATTATATATAAATTCAACTATACAAAGTTATTACGTGAAATGGCAAGATTGGAAATTTGTGTCTCTTTTTATGTCTCAACAAAAAATTATAAAACCAATATTTTCATGTCTGCTATAACATAACACAGTTACAAGAAAATGATTCCGCAAATGAAATGTTAAAACTTTATATCCCAAAGTATGTAGTAGATCAGTTCAATAGAAACATTTATCAAGAAAGTTCTCAGTTCGGACTTCTCTATTTCTCTACCTTATTATTGTAGTTTAACAGAGAAGAAGAATGTTTAAATTTTGATTGCGTATATGAAATGAAAAATCTTGGGTACCGAAATAATGTAGTAGACTAGTTCGATGGAATCATTTATCCAGAAAGTTCTCAGTTCTAATTTCTCTATTTCTCAACCTAATTGGTGTGATTTTCAAAAAAACAAGTATGTTACTATGTTATTTCTTAAACGAAATGTAACATCTGGAGTACCTAAAGAATGCAGTGGATGAGTTCAATGAAATTTACTATCCAATGAGTCTTATGTTACAAGATTTATGTGTCAGATTCCTTTATTTAATTTTAGTGCTAAAAAAATTGGTCATAATCATTTACTAAGTTTTTTAAAAATATAAGGAGATTTTATGTTAAATTACATAGTGCGACAATTGTTACTTTCGTTTGATATATATAAATTAAACTTTACAAAGTCATTACGTGAAATAGCAAAATTTGAAATTTGTGTCTCTTTTTATGATTCATCAAAAAATTACAAAAACCAATATTAAACTTTCGTATCATTGTGAGTGTTATATAAATATTTTCATGTCTGCTATAACATTACACTGTTACAAGAAAATGATTCCGCAAATGAAAAGTTAAAATTTTAGATCCCAAAGTAAGTAGTATATTAGTTCTATGGAATCATTTATGCAGAAAGTTCTCAGTTCCAATTTCTCTATTTCTCAACCTAATTTATGTGATTTTTAAAGGAACAACTATGTTACTATGATTTTTCTTAAACGAAATGTAACATCTGGAGTACCCCAAGAATGCAGTAGATGAGTTCAATGAAATTTACTATCCAATGAGTGTTCTGTTATAAGATTTTTAAGTCAGATTCTTTTATTAAATTTTATTGCTAAAAAAATAGGTCATAATCATTTACTAAGTTTTTTAAAAATATAAGGAGATTTTATGTTAAATTACATAGTGCGACAATTGTTACTTTCGTTAATTATATATAAATTCAACATTACTAAGTCATTATGTGAAATAGCAAAATTTGAAATTTGTGTCTCTTTTTATGATTCATCAAAAAATTGCAAAACCCAATAATCTTAAACTTTGGTTTCTCTGTGAATGTTATATAAATATTTTCTTTACTGCTATAACATTACACTGTTACAAGAAAATGATTCCGCAATTGAAAAGTTAAAACTTTAGATCCCAAAGTATGTAGTAGATCAGTTCAATTGAATCATTTATTCAGAAAGTCCTAATTTCGGACTTCCTTATTTCTCAACCTAATTATTGTAGTTTAACGGAGAAGTAGAATGTTTAAGTTTTGATTCCGTATATGAAATGAAAAATCTTGGGTGAATGTTATATAAATATTTTCTTTTCTGTTAAAACATTACACAGTTACAAGAAAATGATTGCGCAAATGAAAAGTTAAAACTTTAGATCCGAAACTTAAGTAGTAGATCAGTTCATAAGAATCATTTATCCAGAAAGTTCTAAGTTCGGACTTCTGTATTTCTCAACCTAATTATGTAGTTTATCAGAGAAGAAGAATGTTTAAATTTTGATTCTGTATATGAAATGAGAAATCTTGGGTACCGAAATAATGTAGTAGATTAGTTCGTTGGAATCATTTATCCAGAAAGTTCTCAGTTCGAATTTCTCTATTTCTCAACCTAATGGATGTGATTTTCAAGGCGGTTCCAGAATAGGTGCAGAAGCCAAGTGCAACTACAAGTCCAAGTGAAGACACTTGTACTTGGTTGCGCGCGCATCGCGTTGCCAACTGTCTCGGTTGTCAGAAAATTTATCTGGTGACAATCTAGTAACTCGGTTTCTCGTTCAGTTCGCGTCGTTTATTTTATTCGGATAGGTAGATAAAACAATTATTAATTGAATAATTTTTTCTGTGAAAGAAAGCGTATACCACTTTTGACGCATTGACAGGTAAGAAATAAATAATAATTATTAATTAATGCGAATTAATTAGTTGTTTGTTTTTGGTTTTGTTTGACTTTTGGCTAACATATACACATCTAACCTATAAATACGCTGAAACAATTTATCCGCACTGAATTATTAATTATATCATTTATTTGCCAATTAAAATTGAAGTTTTTTAAAAATTGTGATTTTTAATCATAAATATAGTTTAAATCTTGCTGCATTTTTCTTTAAAACAAAATAATTTGTCATTGTCTTATTTAACTTAAAGTGCGTGTGCTTTATTTTATTTAAAATCATAATAAATATATTGAAAAGTTTAAAAACACTAACAATCATTAATTATTATTATACCCATATATATGCATATGTATTATTAAACAATATTTGCTTTTCTGCAGTTTTAAATTTTCTACTTCCTACTTTTGAGACACTTTATACACTAAACCACTTTTGAAAATTCTATACTGTCTTTTATTTTTAGAAATTTGACATTTCTTTTCTATGATAAGTTTCTTTTGTATTTTGTAACTAATTTTAATTTATCAAAAATAATTTTTTTCTTATAATTTAGCACTTTTATATTATTTTTACAATAAAATATGATTACAAATTTAATAATATGAAATACCATTTAATTTACAGTTTTTATACAATAATGATTTGTACTATTGTTCCAATAATAGTTGCACAATATTGGTTAACCTTCCTTCAAGTAATTCAGAGATATATTTATGAATTGGAAACAAATAACCTTCGTCGTTGGCATGTTAGGGCACATTTAACAAATGAACAACGTGATGAGCATGGAGCTTATGAAAGACTTTTTTTACATTTTGCAAATAATGATAGTGAGGAATTTTACAATATGACGAGAATGAATGTAAAATCCTTTCGGAAATTGTACAATTCTCTGCGCCATAGATTAATAAAAACCAGTATAAGGAGGCCGTTAAGTGGGGAACTTCGTCTAGCAATTACTTTATGGTAAATAAAGGAAATATTGCAAATATTTTATAACTTAATGTCTTTAAATTAATATATAATTTATTTTTTAAATTAATAAAGGAATCAACAGGGTGTATAGCGATCGGAAATTTATTTTGACAGAATTGATACTTGCATTTGAAAAATTAAATTATTTAATTTACAGCTTTCTAGCTCATGGTGATAGCGTATTTAATACATCAAATCTATTTCGGGTCGGAAGAAGCACTACATACGAAATCATTAGTGAAGTTTGCTCTCTCATTTGGGAAGTATTGTCTCCCATATACCTTGCTTGGAAATCTGCTGAGGAATTACAACTTGTTGCTCATGGTTTTCGTGCGAGGTGGAATTTACCAAACTGTTTAGGGGCTCTAGATGGAAAAGAAATTATGGTAAAAACACCTCCGCATTCAGGAACAATGTTTTATAATTATAAATCATACTTTAGTTTCAAAATTTTGGCAATATGTGATGCGTTTCTACGCTTTACATGGGTGTGCATAGGAGATTACGGTAAGCAATCTCTCTAAATAAATTGTCATTAATTAAAATAAATTCATATTTATAACAGTAATAAATAGAAATTTTTTTATTTTGTTAGGTTCTGTAAGTGACTTGTCAACATTTCGAGAAACAGACTTATACGAAGCACTGGAAAATGGCGAGGTCGATCTTCCCGAGGATGATTTTCTTCCTCGTACTAATGTCAGAATGCCATTCTTTTTCATAGGGGATGGAATTTTCGAAATGCGACGACACTTTATGATACCTTATAATAGAAATAATATTTTGTCAGAGGAAGAAGCAGTTTTCAATAAAAGGTATTAAAATTATCTCAAAATACGTATTCATTATTTAAAAAAATATATAAACTACTTACAAATTGAAATAAATTTCATTTAATGTTATTAATGTTTAAAATTTTTATTACATAAGATCAAAAATGGAAAACTGAAATAAATAAACGAATAAACAAAAAATTAATTTTTTTTACAAAAAAACAAGACTTTTTCAAAAATATTTCTCAATGAATATTTATCAAAATTAATATTTTATGAAATTTATGGTTATGGTAATTAACATTTAAAAACATGATTAAATGATTAAATTTGGTGTGTTTTCTTTTAATATTAAAAAAATTAGAGGGGAATTTTTTTTAATAGTTTTAGTTAATTTATAAATTCAGGTGAAAATTGATAAAAATTGTTTTTTGAGCATTTAAATATCGATTAAGTAATAATGTATTGTATAATAATATTAAATGGTACATAAAATTTTATTTATTATTTTATTTAAGAATTTAATATAATTAAACCAAAAAAATTTATTATATTCAAATAATCTATTAAAAATTTTTTAATGAAATAATTTTTTTTTTATTTTGAACAAAGACGATTTTTTTTTAATAATATTTGTTTGATATAAATAAATATGTACTTGATATTAATCAATTATTTGTTTATTTTAATAAAATAAATTGTTCACTTTATAATTCATTATCAAAGATCAGCTTCGTTTACGAAAAAAAAATGATAACCCATCAATGTAAATGACAGTTAGGATTAATTTTGTTTTTAATTTTAAGTCTTTAATATTTTATAATGTACTATAAAGAATTTAAAGAATATTTATTTGTTAATAGTTTTTTAAATAATTTTCAAAATTAAAAAAAAATTTTTAATTCTATTACAATTCCTTTTGTTACTGGTTTTCTTATTTATATTTTTCATGATTCCAAATAATCATGAATAAAAATTTCTAAAAACTTAACTTTTTTAAAAAAAAATTAAATTTTGAAATTAATTACAAAAATTTATATATTTTAGCAATATTAATTGCAATAGGCTTAAATTTCATTAATTCATGCCCTTATTCATATGTTTAAATGAAAATAAAAAGAAATTAATAATATACATATCTATATATTTCATTTTTTGTCAGGTTGTCAAGAGGAAGAAATACAATTGAGGACAGTTTTGGGCGTTGGGTTAACAAATTTGCCGTTCTAAGCACTCGTCTTGATTTTTCATTAGATAAGTCGATAAGCATTATTAGAGCATGTTTATGTCTGCACAATTTTATAATTGATGAAGAATTGATGGATAAAAAACCCTATAACGTTACTGCATACATAGCTCGAAACGAAGAAGGAGTTCGTCGAAATGAACAAATTGTCGCTCACAATGTTCCAAATGATCCTTATGAGCAACGAAACATTTTAGCGGCATATTTCACCTCCCCTGAGGGACAAATTAGATATGTTTAATGTATTATATTTATTAAATTATTTTTATAATTTTATAAATTAAATTAAATTTTTAAAATAAATATTGTTTTTTTTCTTTAAAGAAACGATAATAATTACATTTTTTTTATTTAAATTTAATTACTATTATTATTATTATTAGTATTGTTATTCTTTCCTAATTTGAAGGTTACTCTTCTTAAATTTTTTTTCGTTCCTTTCAATATTGCAAACAATATGTTCCAAATTGAAAATCGTTATTAGTTTGTTAACTACTTCTTTGATTATACCTTATTTCAATTATTTAGTCGAATTAAGAATTTTTTATAAAAATAATAGTAATTAAAATAATAAAATATATATTTGTAAAATTTTATAAGAATTAAAAAAAAGTAATTTATATATATTTCAATTTAAAAACAATTTATTATCAAACTTGGAATTTTTTCTTTCTACTACAACAAATTATATCTGCTTTGACTATATGTTTTATCATAATTACAATAAAGTATAAAACTTTATTTTATACGTAATTAACAACATTTTCATAATATTGTTTTTGTATATTAACCAAAATTATTTGGTAATATAAAAATTATCACAGTAACATTAATGTAAATTGATATATTTGTCAAATGGCTTTTAAAAATAATAATTCGATAGACCTTTTCATGCTAGTCGTTCTGTCCTTATCTAGCGCATACAATGACGCATGAGTTGGAATAGGACAGAATGATCAGCATGAAAAGGTCTATTGAAATAAATTAAACTGACCAAAAAGAAATTTTTCTTAATTTATTATAATTTATAAAAAAATTAAAATTATAAATCTCTATACAATAGATTTAAATTATCGTGCCACGAAAATGTCTATAAAAAAATTTAACGTCTAAGCATAATATGTTCTTAAACGGGAACACGATTGGAAACGCAAACGGAAGAATGCGATAGAGAAGGACAAAGTTAATCTCTGTCATTTTTTAACGCATTTTGCGTTTTCGGTTAACGTTTTCGATTGCGTTTCCAAGCAAGAAGCAATTGTGCGTTAACCTTAAACGGGCTTAAATGTGTTGATTAAAACGCAATTACAAAAATTGTTTATAAATGGTGGACGGTTGATTATTTGTTATTGTATATTTTATTTAGACGATAACCATGAATAGAATTAAGCAAAAGTTATATGATGAACAAAAAAACAGGGAATTAGTAATGCTGGTTTTCCAAAATCGTTGTTTGTATATTAGTAATATTAAACAAATCGCAAAACCAGGAATAGTTGAGGAAACTTGGAAAGAAATTGCATTTAAATTACAACAAATAGGCAATCCGCATTTTAAAGGTATTTATTTTATAATTTAAAATTTAATTATTGTGTATTCCTAAAGTTATATTTCTATTTTGAAATATACTAATTTTAGTTTCGTGAGGTTATCAATAAACCATGTGATAATTTAGTGTTTGGAGGGTAGGGGATATCAGAAAATATCACGATATACATTTAAGAAATGGGAAAAATATAAAAAGAATAAGGAGTATTAAATTTTATAAAAATTTTGACACATGTTTATCGACTACCCTTTCATTTAATAAATAAAAACTTAAATTCGTTGTCTGAATAATATAAAAGAAAAAGGTACCTTTAATATAAATTGAAAAAAAAAAATTCATTACTTATGTCAAAAATTTTTAGTAATTTTGTTCCATTCATCTAAATTACTAGCTTCAATTTAACATGTACATGCTGTATTTAATTTAATATTATAAATTTTATAATATTACACGTTATAAATATACCTTATTTACGTAATTAAAAAAAAAAATTATTTGCAAATGACAGATCCTCAGAAACGTTGGCAACAATTGAGACGCTCGTTCAACAGTCATTATAAAAACTCAAATGTTGGTTGGTATTTATACAATGATCTTCTATTTCTCGAGCCACATACTAAAGTTAAAAAGTCTTCTAATGGTGGAACTCTTGAAAATGTTCATCATCTTCATTCACCAAGTGAATATTTTTTTTTATCATTATTATTATTATAATTATTATCATCATTATTATTATAATTATTATCATCATTATTATTATAATTATTACTATTATTATTGAAAAAATTTAATTATTACTTTAAAACTTTATTTTATTTTACATTGTGTCCAAGGGCTGTTTAAAAAAATTATTTCATAACGCAAATATGTATATTTTTGACAGTTATGAACATGTGTGAAACGTCCCATGCTTCTTGGGGCAATTCATTAGGCAGTATTGGAGATAAGGAGAAATCACTTAATGCCGATACTTTTTCTGCTTTTAATGCACAAGATGACGTTGTAAATGTTGATGATATCAAGAAGGAATTTACAGAATACGATATGCTTCATTTTTAAAATGAAATTATTGAAATCGAAGATGATGATGATGATGATCGTCATCGGATGTCAGAAGATCAAAGTTCAAACAGTGGCCCGTCAAACATTGTGCCGTTTACATCACAAGGATTTAATCCAAAATTGTCATCATTTGGTTTAACCTCCACAAGTTCTCCGAATTCCAATATTTCAACACCACCACCACAACCAGCTTTAACGTCGCCACAAGCCTTGGATGAGATTAATGAAGGTTTTTATTCAGCCTATTTGAAAAAAAAATTAATGGAACAAACAAACTCAGGGTTGCATTCTTTAGGACCTGAACCACAGACAAATGTTTTTCAACATTCAAACTTTCAGTCACAATCTAGAGCTTTTCATGCAGCTAAAATATCAAATTTGAACAAAGAAAATGATGTAGGAATATCCTCAAAAAATCAAAGTACAACAGATTTTTTAAACTCTCATTTATCAACGTCGTTCATGCCCTCATTGGATGTGGCTTCGCGTGCAATTTGTTCTCAACCTACTACAAGTAGACCATCAAACGGAAGAAAAAGTTGCAGAATTGGAAATATATTTAATTCTCATCCAATTAAAAATCAATACAAATCAGTTCAAGATATTCCGATATCCAAGCTTTCTGAAAAAGTGAACGCATCCCCACCGATTGATCGTTTCGCGAGAAGGAATTTGCAAGACAAACAAAAAAATTCATTAATTCTTAATGACGCTTTAACTCGGTCAACTGAAACTTTACAAGAAATATCGAACACATTTTCACAAATTGCAAAAGCAAAATTAGAAAAAAACATTCCGGCAGATTGTGTATTCAAATTATTTTTAAACGATTGGCATAAGTTGTCAGATGACGAACAAAGAGCAAAACTCAACGGTGTAATGGACATACTAGATAGCTATAAAGCCAAGTAAAGTCCACATCTTTTGATTGCGCATTATTTTACGTTTCTTTTTCCAGTTATTCATTCGTTAGTTTAAATTATTCGTTGATGTCCATCTTTAATGATGCTTTGATTAAGGCAATGCAAAATAAAAATCATTGCAATAATAGATATTACTTATGTTATACTAAAAAATTAATATTGATATATTAGCAGAGTTGATATACTATTATAGGGCCATTACATTATATTTTGACTAAATTATTTGCTGGCTAATTTAAAAAGAAATTGATACTTTCAGAAATGATTTTGCGTAACATGTGGTGAACAAAATGAAAATAATTATATTAAACTTTTTATTATTTCCATTAAAATATGAATTAAATTAACTATTTTTAAATGATTGAAATATTTTCAAAAATAAAATAATATAAAATTTTTATTCAAAGTTGGTGTGTTAGATAACATAATTTTGATATTTTTACCAAATATTAAAAAAAAAATGAAAATATTAAATAAAATAAAAACTCACCAAATTTAAATTATTTGCAACAAAATTTTAGATTTTATAATATATAATTTTTCTAAAATTTATGAAATATTTTATTTACGTATAAATAAAAATTAACTTAAATTTTCATGATGGATTTTTATCGATTTTAAGATAAAATTTAATTTGAAAATTATACATATATTTCGATATTCATGAAAATAAATATTTTAAACTTGAAATTGGGCAACAACTTCAACAAGAAAAAATTAGATGCATTAAGCTCGAAATATGCGTACAATTTTATAATAAAATCTTCTATTAAACTCGATCAAAATATTCCACAAGATTTCAAAATTTTTTATTTTGCAATAGAAGAGTTATAGGTTATTAAATATTTGAAAATCTAGAAAAATGCAATTTCAATTTGAAATTTTTTATAATTATTTGTTTTACACTGTTAACAATTTTTTTAAAATTATTTTTAAACTAGCAAAATTACACGCGCGCAAGCGCGCGTCCAACTTTGGATGCAATGGTTATTTTAAAATAATAATAATATTAATAATAATAACAATAATAATAATAATTCTGCATAAGTGGAATATTAAATTAATAATAGGTATATTTCTAATTTTCACGTTATCATTTATTTATACACAGAAAAAAATGAGTTTGATGTTATATAAATAAATAAATTTAAGTAAAAATTTTAAAATATAAATATTAAAATTTTAGAAATAAATATTTTTGATAAAGTCAATGTTCGATGAATTTTTTATAATCTTTCAAATTGCAAAAAATTAGTTATGCTTATGCTAAATATTTTTTTGTATTTTCTATAAATATTTCGTTGCAAATGAAAATTTTAAATTTATGTTTTTTTTCAAAAAATTTAATTAACTGATAATTAATAAATATTAAAAAATTATGTAATCAGAAAGAAATTTAAATTAACAGAAAATTATTAATTATATTTTAAAAAGTATTAAGCAATTAAAAAATATTTAAAAATTTTGAAAAAATAAAACCTAAAAAAAATTTGTAATGTTTTAAACTTTAAACTTAAATTAAAAATTAAAATCAAATTGAAAATTTTTTAAAAAAGCAAACTATTTTTATATTGTTTATAGATAAAAAATATAACAATTTAATAATTAATAATAAAAACAAATTAATAATAATAAATTTATGAATAATAATTTATAATAAATAATAATGAATAATGAAAAAATAATGAAAGATAAATAATAATTATA